AAGAATGCTGTTTTGAAGAGTTGCCTGAAATGCTTGTTCCTTGATGGTCTGTAGACCGAGGGACTTTGCTATCTGTAAAACACAGGGCTAGCTATCTGAAAACATAGCACTGCTTATACGTGGAAGAATACCTGTACTCTGTTTTTAGGGATTAGTCCCTTAAGCTTTTGATGTTGCTGATGCTATTCAGAACTCAAAGCAGAAAGCATTTCAAGTGTTCCAAATTAGAAGCTTTTTAATTTTATCCCCTTCTGCGCAATGATTCTAAGGATTTGTCCTTACAAGCAAAGCGTGTCTTTAATCAGATGGTTGCTTATTTTTGGAATGGTATGGAGGAAGCTCTGAGACGCAGTGATGCAACTCTTTAATGGCTGATGTTTGGTGCCGCTGTGAGCGACGCTCGGCTGTGTCAGAGTGCCCTCATCTGGCCGCTCTGCACACCAGCAGTTCAGCGTCCAAGGGTCAGCATCCCTTCGGTCTCCACTCGTTTCCAGTTGCTGTAACTCATAGGAATAACGGTCATTTTGCCAGAAAGAAGTTTCTCAAATTTTGGCTAAGAAATAGTAAGCCAGTATTATTACACTTCTATTTCATAAATCTACTGTAAGAAGGAAGAAAATAGTCATATATAACAGTGAGGCTATTTTAACCCAGGACCATAAAATAGGGTTGGACGCTGAGTGAAATTCTTACATAAAATTGTTGATAGCTCCTAACTGCTATTATTTTAGCAGTAATGAATTCTTAATGATCTCAGAATGCTCATTACTGAAGTATTCAAAGTGGCTAAAGCTGTTTCATCCTTTAATTTACTAAAGGACTATTGGAAGTGCCCTCAATGTAGTGAAATGAATCCTCCGCTTCCACGACATTGCCACAGATGTTGGGCCCTCCGTGAGGACTGGCTTCCTGATGAGAAGAGTGATAAATTGGTGAAGAACAAATTAGAAGGTTCTTTCCAGCTGGAATCTGAAGAAGGTTTTGATGTTCCTGACTGTAAGAAAGTGAAAACAAATGAAGATAAAGAACCAGCTGTGGAGGAGAATGAAGATAAAGCAGTACAGATATCTGAGTCCCAGGAAAGCGAAGATTATTCTCAGCCATCTACGTCTAGTAGCATGTTTTGCAGCAGTCAGGAGGACTTCAAGGAACCTGAGAAGAAAGAAATGAAAGACAAAGAGGAAGGTACGGAGACCAGTCTGCCTGTTAGCAGCATAGAGCCCTGTGTCATATGCCAAAGCAGGCCAAAAAATGGCTGCATAGTACATGGCAAAACAGGCCATCTCATGTCATGTTTTACATGTGCAAGAAAACTGAAGAAGAGGAACAAACCCTGCCCGGTGTGCAGGCAGCCCATCCAAATGATTGTACTAACTTATTTTGGCTAGGACGATGGAAAGCAACAAAAGGAACTCATAAACTGGTACAGCAAATAAGAGAGTAAGAAATTATTTTTATATGCTTATTGCAGATAAATATTTTGGGTGTCTTTACATTTGGTATGAAAAGTAATTGCTGAAGTAAATGCACTGGAATTGTTAAGTTTAGCCTGATACTTGCTAGTTAATTTAACATTGAACATTTTAAATCCCTCTCAGTAGAAGTAACCAATTCCTGTTGGTCAGTGTTTGTGTTTCCAGGTGTTTTACTGTGCATAAAAGTCAGTAACGTTTCAGTTATGGTATTGACTACAAATATTGCAAGCCCCTGTTCAGTGATGATCAGAGGAGGGACATTTTGAAGAGTTCGTTTAAAATCAGTTTAGAAGAAAGAAGATTACATTCCACAATCTGTTGCCTAGCGAAAGCACCAGGCAGAATCAGAACCATCTGAGTAAGTCAATAAAAGAACAAAATAGAGCCTTGTTTCCCTCGCTCCTGAAAAATTAAATTGCTTTGAGAAGGAGATTTTTTGGATGCTTGTTGGGAAACCAGGGAAGCTGTGGTAGAAAGTAACATTCAAGATTTTGGAAATTAAAGAGGGTATGGTGTGTTTTGTTTCTGTAATGTACTTTGTAAACTTCAGGGCTGTCTGAGTACACTGTGAGAAGTCACTGACCAGTTACAGTCTTACGGTTACCTCTTAAATATCCTGAGAGAGACTTTTGAAACATGGTGTGGATCTGGTGGTCTGTACTGTCCTCATTATTTTAGCAGAGTGTGAAAGATGTGAACAGGAAAGATAAATGAGGAACTTAGCTAAAAAGTAAGGCAACTCAGCAACAATAGGGGATGTTTTTAGGTTTGTTTTTTTTTTCCTGCACTTGCATAAGAATAGTAAGAAAAAAAAGTCCACCTCCACCTGCAGAGAGAGAGAAGCTCTGTCATTTTACTTCTCCCAGTTCATTAAATCCAGCAGCCTTTCTAACTTTTGCTGTTCTCTTTTTTTCTGTATTGCAAGAATTTTGAAAACCTGCTGCAAGGTTTTTGGCCAGGTAAGAGTTTTGTCTCAGTTGGATCCGTCCGTCCTTCTTTTGGCTCTGATGTCTTCAGTGTTCTTCCACAAAACCCTTGTGAAATATATGTTTCTTTCTGAAGAAGTCTGCTAATTGACTTTGGTCTGTGATGCATTCAAAGGAGATAAACATGAGTGTATCTCTGCAAGCTTAAGTGTCTAAAAACATAGTTTGATTTTTCATCTGATCTTCAGATGGAGAGTTCCTGCACAAGAGGCTTCTGTCCGTTCCTTTGGATGACTGACCCTAAGAGGATTTGGGTGTTCTCAGCTCATTAATTTGACAGGTAGTCACAGTTCAGCTGTCCTGCAGGGGCTAATAAATAGTCTTAGATTCAGGAGAGCTCCAAGAATGCAGAAGTTGTGCTGTGTTTTACCATCCCACAACCCTCAGGGAAGTGGTTTCCTTACCTTCACAGCGCCAGTACAAAACTGTGCCTCTGTGCCAGCACAAAGGCCTGTGATGTTAAAATTACTTTCACTTCAGAAACTTGAAATATTTATTCCACTATAAATGCCTGGAAACCAGGACTGGAAACACCAGGAATACAGGGAAGTACCTACTAATTTTCCTAGGTACTTCCTTGTGGAAAATAAAAAGTGTACAGTAGAAACTTGGTAAACACGTGTGACTGGAAAGAAATTCCCAAATTACCTGAGTCAGTAATGTTTGTTTGTACAGTTGAGCTAATTGTTGAAAGCTACTGCTGAAAGATAGTGATAGCTCTGAAGCTTCACCGTTGTTCATTTTAACTAAACAAAACAGAAAACTCAGTTGTGTGTTTCTTCAAAGAAAGAATTGTTTTACATGCAGATCCTGCCTCCATTAGTACTGCTTCCTCTTCATTTCTCTGCATTTGTATTTGCTAAATTGAAGCACAGTGCAGCTTACAGAGACTGTTAAGTGCTGCTGCAAGTCAGAACTGATCAGCAGTCCAATTGGTCTGTAGTGTGCAGCTGGCACAGAATTCCCAACTTGTGTAGTTGGAAGAAGCACTGATGAAATGGGGAGCATACCTAAGAGACACTGCAGTGGATCAATATTTTGTCTTTTTCAGTTTGATACCTTCTCTGCAGTCATTGTGATTGCTGTAGAACCCCAGCTGTGGGGAACAGCTGTCACTAACCCAGTTCTTGCTGGGACGAATTGTGCTGTCCAGCTCTGGGCATTCTTTTCCAGCTCCCTTGTGTGATCTCCATATTGAAGGAGAAAAAAAAAATCAGCTCTTAAAAATGCCTGAGTAGTCACAGCAATGTTGTTGCTGTTTGCAAGCACTCAGCTTTGGGATTTTCCTTCAGAAACAGTTTCATCTCCTATTAAATCTGCATTGGTAAAAGGTAGAATGGGAGCACAGCTGACTTCTCCATTTGTGATCTAAAGTTTTACTTCCTTAGCACATATTCTTTTGTGGAGAGCAGCCCTGGAAACACTTGCTGCTCCATACAGTACCAAGGAGATGGGTAATTCAGGGGCCTGCATCTTTGGCCATATTGCTCTCTCAGAGTAAATTTTTATTTTGAATTCTGTTTTCTGGCTTAGTGTTATTTTTAACAGCCAGGGAGGTTTGTTGTTTGTTTGTTCTTGTCTTTTGCTTTCTTTTTTTAAAAGTGTGCCTTACAAATAAGGGAGCGGAGTGGTGGGGTGTTGGCATCTGTCTCACTTCCTATTTGAGCAGCTGCTGGGGACACGTGCAGTGCGGGGCAGACCAAGGCCCAACTGAGAGCAACGTTTGGTCTGATGTGCTGGAACCTTTGGGTTTGTCACCATGCAGTCACCCTGCGCTGCACTGACTGTAAGCTGTTGGCTGCTCTCCTCTTTTTGCCTGATAACAATTGCCTGTTGTTGTGTAGCAGTGCAAAAGTTGGCAATGTTGTGGCATGAAAGTGGACTTTTGTTCTTGGAGAGGTCTTTGAGATCATTATTTAATATTGTACACATTTTAATCATTAATTTATTGCAGTTTGTAAATATTCTTGTGCTTATAGTTAGTGTTGTGAGCTTTAATTTATTGGATTGGTCTGTTGGTACCTGTGCAGATAAACACACGTGCTTAGTAAGTCACAGCTACAGGAGGTATATTTAAGAAATTGTAGCATTAAAACAGAGATACAGACTATATTCAGGTGGAGAGATGGAAGATGTACGCCTTTGTTTTCATTTTTCCTTCCCTTAAAACCATCTCAGTGTTGAAACTGTAAAATGCTCACTGAATAGAGATGAAAGCTGATGCGACATGAGCACAGGGGAAACTGCTTGTATGGTGGTTTCTGTAGGAATGCTTTTGTCTCCCACTGCAGCCACACACTGCTGTGTGGTGCTGTTAACATGGGAGGGCAGGTCTGGAAGGTGGCCAGAACTGATCAGTGGGAGGCGTTGCAGTGAATATTTGCATTGGGCAGTGATTGTCCTCACCTTTGGGAAGATGACCAAGGGAGATGAGGGAACCAACAGAACTGAGAAGGGCCCAGTTCTGGTAACTAACTGTGTGCTTCAAGTAGGCAGTAGTTGGGTACGCTGCTGCAAGAACTCACAGTTGTTTTTGTTGTTTTTTTTTTTTTTTAATAGAGTGCCAGAAAACCACTTTTGGATTAAATGCTCTTTTCTCTTTATCCAAGAATGCTAAGTGTGGAATGAAATACTTGAAGCAGCTGCCAAATGCTTTGGTTCAGCATCTGATACTGAGAAATGCTGAGTCTGGTGAATGGTAAATTAATTGAGAACCTTTAATGCTGGATCTTTAGCTCTATTACAACAGAAGTCCGTTGCCATTATCTGTTAGAAGTGTGTGGGGTTGAAGCAGGTAGCTGGGTTGCTGGTGGTAGCGAGTGTTTGTGCAAAGGTTGGTTTTGTAGAGCAGCTCCTATGGAGTGTTGTGAGTGTTGTCTGTTTGTGGCACTGGGCAATGTGATCTCTGCCATGCTGAGGCTCTGGCTGTAGCTTCGGTGAGGAGGCTGATTTACAGAGGGTAAAGGTGCTACAAAATGTAACTGGTGAGGTGTTGCATTTATTTCTAACAGCCTGGTACAACTTTGTCACTGAGTTCCAATTCCCGTGTGTTTGTTTAGATGTCACTCTGAAATTTCTGTATGGATGTGAAACTACATGGAGGAAGGACTTAAGTCTCCTTTTTTCCCCTACAAGACCAACGTGAGGACAAAAAGAAATTCCTCATTCTTAGAGAAAGCCAACAAGAATAATTTTCAGTAAACTGTGTTCTGACAGGAGGGAGAGTAGGAAATTATTAGAAGCATAATGAAACAGCAAAATGAGGTGAATAAATGAATCACTATTGGGTTGAAACATTCTTTCTCATCTTAACCTGAAGTTGCTGTTGTGTTTATCCCAGGCAGAGGAGGTGCTTTGCTGTGCAACACAGCCTAAAGGATGGGCAGTTGATGCTGTGTTATGTAGCAGTGGAAGAGATCTTTGAGCACATGCACTTATATAGTGACTTGCAGGGCAGCACAGCTCTTACCTTCCTCCAGCTCTGCTCACTGTCACTCACTTTGTTACTCATGGTGCAGGCAGGGGGTGCATGGGTGCTCTTGGGGGAATATTTGAGGGTTGCATCTTGCAGTATTGCTTCCAACTAATGTCTACTTGCTTACCACAGGTGCACTGAAAAAGAGAACGTCTTTCTGTCGCATATATTGTATGTGTAAAAGTTGTTGTTGACACTTTAGGAAATGTTGTCTCTTCCTTTTCACTAGATGTTGCTTTGAGGGGGCAGTTTTTGTTTTTGAGCTAAATTAAATTGAGCAGTCACCATCCTGATGACATAACACCTAAAATATTAAATGGCATTTCTCAAAGCAGAGTCTTACTTTGTTGTCTGACTTGGTGGATCTGAAATCATTATTAAATAGACAGCTGAGTGTGAGATTACAAACTATGCAATTTTGCCACTCCTGTAGGCTGCCCCCATGACTTACTGGGTTTACTTCTGTCCAATCATTCAGTAAGATACAGCTCTCCACTCACGTTGTACAGAGCGTAGTTACATTCACAAGAAGAATTTCCAATGTGTACTACATTTGTGTTTCAAGTTTTTCCTTTTCTGGGGAAACCGAACATTTTATCTGTTTAAAAGCTTTAAATAAAGATGTTTATATCCTCCTCGGTGCTCCTTTTGTGTCTCTGATTTGATTTTTATGCATCTTTTTAATTGTAGAACAGCACTGCAGGTTCCTGGGGTGGGCACGTGTTTTGAGGAGATGGTAAACTCCTGTTCCTCATGCCATAAGTGACAAAATCAGAAGCAAGGCTGTGCACTGGTACTGTCCTCTGACTTATGAATGCTCTGCAGCTTTTAAAAGTAGACAACCCAAGAGGTATGGCAAGCAAAGGCATTAACAGTCTGCTGTCTTAAATACACCTGTGTCAATCTGAATCTGCACTGGGCTTTTTATAGCAATGTGCACTTAAACTTCAGAAGCCACAGCCCTATTGCAATATCTTAACGGGAGAGAGGGTAAGAGTGTGGGTTACTAACAGTGGTGTGCTTACAGGGCTGTACTTGCATCAATGGACAGCTGTGTTCCTGCCAATCTCATTGACTGTACGGGAAAATACAGGCATCTCCAAACACAGTCTCTTGTGACTACTTAAATTGCTTAAGAAAGGGGCAGATAAAGTTTTAAAATAAACATGTGAAGTGGTATTAACTAACCTGATAGCTGTTGAACAGCTTCAAAGCAGCCTGGAAATTACTTGCAGCAGCTGAAGCAAAAGGAATCAGTGAGTGGTGCATGCTGTGCCATGCTGGTAGCACAGCCCTCAGTGCCTATGCACAAGGCTTGCTTTGGCAGAACTGAGCCTTCCAGCTATTGCTGTATGGCATACAGGGGCTGAGGAACAAGGGAACAGGGCCATGAAACATGCTCTTAAATAAACAAACCAGATCACAGCTGATGCAGTTATTGCAACCATTCATATTGAAGCATTCCTAATTATAGTTCTGCTCCAGATCAAATTCAGTTAAAAAAAAAAAAAAAAAATTGTTCTACAACTGTAGAAGACTACTTCTGTATATTTTTCAGAGACTTTAGACAGAACTGTTGAAAAGAGTGTTCCCTCTGAGCTCTGCCTGGGGGCACAGGCTGGCACCAAGCCTTCAGCACACAGCCCTTTGGCACATACCTCCCACTGCTTCCTCTCTGCATCCTTTCTTAGAACGGGTGTTACTGATGTTATTTCAGTCCTGATCAGTCTCATTTGTCTAGACAGGAAAGAGTACAGTTAAAAGTGTCAGTCTTCGTTTATAGTAGTGGCTTTATTATGAGAAATTAGGATGGAACTAATTGCTTACATGTGTATGGGCACACAAACTGCTGGTCCAACAGAGCACCACTGGGAAACATTTGCAGCACAATCCCAAGCTGTTTTTGAACCTTTGGCAAGTGTCTGTAACACTGCAGCAAACACCTACAGTTACCATCTCCATAGGCTGTACAGTATTTCTTTGAAGTAAAGTATCATTGTAGAAAAGTGACAGTCGAATTAAAGTATAACATTTGATTGTCAAGGCAATGTTTTACAAAATGCAATAAACACGATTATAAACCAAATTCTCAGCTTTACAATAACATTCTCTTACATACAATCTTTGTTTCAGAAGCCGTATTGATGCAGGAGGGTTTTGCCACGTCACGTAATTCCTGACTTCATTTGAAAATGGAAATTGTAACGATCACTAAAACCAAGATATGTAGAGTTGGCTTTACTGCAGCTGACGAGCGTTCGAGCTCCTGGTACAGGGGGGTTCTGGGGCACGAAGCAAGTCTTGGTTTGACAGAGACCTCTGGGAATGAGAAGTCTTGTTTCAGAGCGCTGAAGTTAGCGGTGTTGTCAGGTATGTCCACTGTCTTCAGCATCGATTTAAATCCTGGTACCGTAGCCTGGGAATGAGCACAAAAGATTTCTTACTTGGTTTTAAACACAGAGTTCCACTCTGAAGCTTGTTTACAGTTTCAGAGTATAGGAAAAATGTTCTAAACATAAGTTGAGCTAAACAAGAGGAAACAACAAAAGCTGAGCTTGGAATGTTAACAGAACACTTTTTTTTCTCCCCACGGTTCCCATGGCTCTGCTAATTTTGCTTTATTTGGGTCAGTGCTTCTCAGTGGATGAACCGACCATATTGCTTCGTAACAATGTTCTGGGTTGGGGTGTTGCCCCCTATAAGGTGTTGCTGTTGATGGAGACTGCTTGCCCCTGAGGGCTGAGTGAAGGACTGCTGCCATACTCCTTTCGCAGGCTGCAGTGAAGGGTGAAGGGGGCAGGAAGTCGAGTGCATGGAGGGGGCTCTCAGGTGATGCTCAAGCCCGAGGAGAAATTTACCAGATTGATGTTTGAGTGGAGGGAAGTCATTTCCCTGGGAAGTGACAGAGGATTCTCATTACAAACCAGCTGTGGGGTTTTTGTTTGTTTGTTTGTTTGTTTCGGGGGGTTTTTTTGGCTCTAAGACCACAGGAGCACCACAGGCAGTACAGAAGAGGAAATCCTGCAGTCACACTTGAGGACAGATCCTGGGCTGGCACCTGCCAGAGACTGCATTGTACAAATGCCCTCTAATGTCTCCTGACACCACCCTCAGGGAAACAGCTGTCACCAGTGGCATTGTCAGCCTGATGCTGCCTGGGGCTATGTGGATGCCAGCCTCTGCTTCCTCAGAGCTCTAACACTTCAGACCAGCCCCTGCGCAATCCAGCAACTCAGGTGGCTCCACCATCCAGTTGGTGGAGTGGTTATTTCTGGACATCCCAGGGACAGGAAATCTTACCACATCTAAACATCTTCTTACTGCTGACTCAAATATTAAGATTATTTTAAAAGAAGAATCTGCCAGTGAGTCTTGACAACTCCTATATTTGACTCAAGCAAGTCCAGCTTACTCAAAACCCTCGCTGTGCTCATGGATTCAAAGCACAATTAGAATAACTCAAGCAGGCAGCACACTTACATTGATCACGTACTTCCCAGGCAAAAGGAGAAGAAAGTACTCGCCGTGCTCATTTGTTCTGTAGGGGCAGATGTGAGGCCTCCCTTTGGCTTCCACGATTGCATTGGGAATAGGATTCCCATTTTTATCAGTAACCTGACCTTTGACTCCTATGAAAGAGGAAGAGGAAAGATAACAGTGTGTACTTGTGACCAGCCGCCCTCTCTGGCAAAGTCAGACTGCTGCTGGATGTACTTAAAGGCCACTTCAATGATTTCAAGTACATCTAATAATATCACCAGTACTTAAATCTTTCCAGAGGGAACTAAAACAAATTCCTTTCTGTTGTCATTAGTAGCTTCATCTGACTTTAGAAAACATCACTGTAATCATAGAATCATTGAATGGCCTGGGTTGAAAAGGACCACAGTGATCATCGAGTTTCAACCCCCCTGCTATGTGCAGGTCACCAACCACCAGACCAGGCTGCCCAGAGCCACATCCAGCCTGGCCTTGAATGCCTCCAGGGATGGGGCATCCACAACCTCCTTGGGCAACCTCTTCCAGTAATCTTTGCTTCTAAATCTCATTTGCTGAAAGCACCATACATACTTGTTGGATGCATTCTCACAAACCACCCTAAAGTGAGCACTGTCAATAAGCAAAACAGTTGGACATTGTGAAATGCAATGTCAGCAACAGATTTATGCAAACCCTTTAACTCAGTGCAAAATATCACTGATTCAGCAGATTTTCTCTGTTTCAGCTGTGAAGTGCAGACCCTACTTAAAAAAAGGCCTTAAAAATACTAAATCCAAACAGCAAAGATCCTTGAAACATTGAGTGCCTGCATGTACGCATTTAGAGACCTTTGGACTGCCCTGGGGCAGCTCCCTGAAAGGCCCATCCCTTCGTCCTGCCAAGGCACACATTCAACCCAAGCAGCACTGCAGGAGCACCTGCTGCCCCACGCCCAGCACAGCCATAAGCTGTCCTCTCATACTATCCCTGGCCTTGCAGCACTCCACCCTGGCCCCAACTGCTGAAACGTTCCTACTCTGCCCACCAGCCCGGCCTCAGCGTTATCTCCTGTCCCAGTTGGTACCCACCTAGGTGTACTTGCTTTATATATTCAACCAGAGCAACTTTGTTGTCTCTCCAGAATTTCTCCAGCTGTTCTGCTGGAGGATATTTACAGCATGACAGCTCAAGTGTGATTTCAAAACACTGTCCCCAGACATAGTTGTAATCTTGCATTCCACCTTAAAAGGAAAATAAAGCACAGTGTTCAACTGCAAAGAAGCACCAAAGGTCAAGCAAGATGAAAAAGGGAAGTGAAAAGTGTTGCTAATTGCATCACACCTGTAAGAAAAAAAAGCACATAAAACAGACAAATTATCCCTCAGTGCCACACCTGTATTTACTGCTTCCTCTGGAAAAGTAGCTTAATAACTCCACAAATACTTGTAGAGTTACTTGTTTTTGAAAGCACAGTGGTGTCTTGGAAATGATGACATCTAATGTTAAAGAAGGGTAGGTCTTTGACTCAAAAGCTCACAAAGCTTTTCAAGCTCTCCCAACCCAACGGAGATAGATCGATTCAGGGGTGCATTGAGTCTGCCTCTCTGAGCTGTCTCCAGAGCCCTTTAAGATGCCAAAGCAGCACTCAGGGCCAGAGTTCACAGGACCCATCTTCTATTTGGCCATGTGTAAACAGAAATGAAAAAGATTTATTTCCAGTAATTTATTTATTTATTTATTTATTTTAAGGGTAATATAAGTGCCAAACATTTGTTTTCTTTCTGAAAGGAGAAGAGAGGTTCTCAACTTGGTGCCAGAGCAGCAGGCAATGTGTGTGTGCAATATATGCCCTGAGAAAGGACACAGACAAAGCCAGAGCAGAAACTGTCTCATTTCACTCTTGTTACTGCCGATGAGGAGTCTGCTAACCTGTGTTCTGCTCAGATAATCCCTGTTGGGGTTGACTTACTCATTTCTCTCTAGCTACTCCAATCAATCCTTGCAGTCAATGCCCTTATCATCAGGTGGCAGAAGCAAGAGGGAATCTGAAGTTGCTGAAAAAGTAGCATGGACATTCTTACCTTCCAGCTGGTACCAGGAGTACCCATTGGTAATGCCATCTGGGAAGGTCTGTTTGCTGTCACACCCAGTCCCCTTGTACATGCTGGCATGGTTGAAAGAATAGGTTTTTGCCAGGTGAATAAAAACATCATCATCTGGAGACCTGCTGTAACCATTTGATGTGCCAGTAACTGCAGAGTGAAGACAGCCATTGTGTAATTCTCTTTACTGATAAAACATACAGCACGGTCTTATAACTTCCCAGATAGTTAAAGCATGCAGTGAATTTAAAATCCTATTTTGTCCTTGATGTTTATCAAAACCTGCCCATCCCAACTTTAAAAACGGAAAAATACCTTGCAGAAAACCTTAAACATTTTGCTTTTCTAGAGTAAAAATTCCTAAAATGAATCAACTGCAGAAGAAAGGACTTGTTCCAGGCTTACCTGAGTTACCGTTATCGAATGTGTAACTGGCAACCAGGGCACCCCCATGCAGGTTTGCTGAAAGAACAAATGTTTCATTTTTTATCCAGTTTATCACTGCTTGAGTCTCTGGCTGAATGATATTGTTGTTATTTTCAAAGGCATCAGGAAAATTTCTGTTCAGATCTTCTCCATTCTTATTGTACCTTAGGAAAGAGAGAAGGCACTCCTGTTACCATTTTGCCCATAGATATTACAACAGCACCAGCCCAACACAACTTGAGAACTGAGGCACACTGGTGCCTTCAGCGAGCAAGCAAGATGGCCATTGAAATTTATCTCCTAAAGCATTCAGAAAATAGACTTCAGTATGCTTTCTGTAAGCACTAGCCACCTGGATAACTCAGGATTCTTTCTACCTAGAGCACCTTTTCCCTTGCTCCTGATGTTGTCCTGGCCAAAGGTCCAGGAGAACTACTAGCTCATGAGTTTGCTCTTTCTTCCAACTTCATTGGAACTTCATCCCTTTGACATTTCTTCCAGTTCTCTTACTCTCTCCTCTTCTTCCCCCTTTTCTATCCAGTTAAACTTTTCCTCCCCTTTTTGATCACTGCAATTTATGTTTAAAATGCAGAAGTAGTGCAAGATGCAATGCTAGGTTACATTTTCCCACGTGAGGTTTTTTTTGTTTTTTGTTTTTTTTTCCATAACACCTATTAAAGCAAGCTACGTATTTTTGTAGTTTTCCCTCTTATTAAGTTGATCTGCGTTCAATATGAACTGCAAACACAAAGAAGGGTTACATAGTTCTCCAACTGAAAAAGATTTCTGTGGGTGGACAATTTTTTTTTGTAGTATTCTAAAGGTCTAAAGAGGTCATTGTGCTTCTATTCACAGCCTGGGTCTCCTGCCCAGAAGGTCAGGTCGTTATATCCTTCTGACTAATTTTCTCTGACCACACCACATACAAACATCTGCGTGACTCACTCTTCCAAAAACTGTCCTGTAACAGTGACTCTTCTGAACAGCAGAGGCCAAACTTAGCCCTAATACATCCACGGGGCTATTCTCTCCGCTCATATGATTCAGTCTCTTGGCTAACTCCAATTATTACCCCACACCCATTTCCCCTACCCACTCCCACCCACCTAAGCCACCCATACCTTCCTCGTGAGTAATAACAATCGGGCACAACTGTAGCTTCAAACCCATCGGGGTTCATCGTTGGCATGATGTGAATCCGGGTATTATTGAGTAGCCGGGTAATAGTTGGGTCACGTCCATAGCTGGTCACCAGGTGCTCTATCAAATGGAGCAAGATTTCTCTCCCAACAGTCTGTAAAAGGAGCAGAAGTTATCTTTCAAGTCTGCCTTAGAAAGAAAAAAAAAAAAAAAACAAACCCAAAACATTCCAAACCCCACCACTTTATACATAAATGGTTGGAGTTTTTTGTATGGTTTCAGTTTTAACTGGATTACATAGGCGTGAAAGAGCCTTCTGGTCAACACTGCTTTGTCCCATGCTCTCCCTCCAATTACATTTAAGGTAATTTAAAAGATTAAAGGAGTCACTAGAAGGTTTTCACAAGGGTTTTAAATGTGGATCAACCAGAACTTTTTCCATGATGAGAAACTGACTGTGTCAGCTACACTACTTAAATCCTGTATAGATAAGGCACAGCCTTATCAAAACCTAAAACTGCAGAGGCTGCCTGTTAGGGATCACGTGGGCCTGGAAACACAGCACTGCATTATCTCAGAGGCTCTGCAAAGTCAGCTCTGTGCCAAAGCCCGAGGGTCCCTGGGTCCTGCACACGAGCACTGGTGATGTGTGCATCACCACATGGCAGCAATCGCTGAGGGGGAAGGAAGGAGACTCCTTTCATCTGTCAGGGTGCTACAGAGCCAGATTTTCTCCTTGTTCATCTCCTTTTCTGTGAAGTCAGCTTTAACACAGGCTCAAGAGAGGCTGACTCCCAGTACAGGGAATAGAGAGACGCCACAGACACTTTTGTTGTACATTGTTACAAGGCATTTTATTGTCATAAACACTGGCATTGGGAAAATGGAATGGGTATGTACAAATCCTTTGGCAAAGATGGAAGGGCCTTTTTGATGTAAACTTTCAAAGGTTAGGTTTCAAAGGGCAGTGGCAGAAGGAAGCTAAATACCCATTTTTGTTCATATAAGCTTCGATAAGTCACGGAAACTGTTGAGATATCACCCCCTTTGGTCTGCTCTGGGAGAAAGTTAGGACCAACATTGTTCTGTGCCAGCATCCACCAGCACGGCACACTCACTGCACCACGCTTTCCGGGAGCGCTTTCTATAGCAACATGACCCATGCCTCAAGGGAGCTGCGGTGTTCCTAATCTCAAGCTGGGATGGGAACAAATCAAGACTTGCAACTGGATGTGCTCTGTAGATGGCTTATCTCCACTCTTCCCTAGGAATTGAGTCTGGTAAATTACTGCAAGTTCTAATTCCAGGCTACGGAGTCTCAGTATCTTTTTAGAATGAGTCCTGCAACCACTAAGACTGAAGTACCACAAATGATTCTTTCCCTTCTCCCAAACTGAGAAACGTGATGTTACATTACTGAAGGAAACTGGTCAACATCATCTTGCTTGCAAACTGGTACAAGGTGAGGTAAATAAACGAAGGTGAAATCAGATGAAAGGAAATGTTGTCCACAGCTGTTTGCTGTACTAATATCTTGTTTGGTTTTCACTCTAGGTGGCAAATCCTGCTCCAGCTCTAGACATGAGTGAGAACACAGACACTATCCTGCAGGAGCTCTGCCTGCAAGAAGACAGGTCGGTACAGTTGCGGCACTACTTAGGGTGGGACCAAACTGGGTCTCAGTTATCCAGCAGCTGACATTATCCCAGGAGGAGGATGGGTGAGCAGCAGTTCCAAACTGCTCTGCTAAGCTGCAGCTCACACCACTAGAAGCATCACGCTTAAAGATGACTGCCTCTGAGCCAGTACTCGAGCAATTCTGCAGTGCTGGTTGTATAAGGAAAAATGACTTTTTCCCCACCCTGCCCTGAGTAGATTTGTTCCTAATTTGATTATTACCTGTCAGTTCCTGAAGGTCTTCTGCAAGGCCCCATCCACTAATCTCCCATCCACTAATCTGCTGGGGGAAGCAGCACTAACAAATGCATTGACTGTCCCAGTAACTAGTGGTTCTTTTTCTGGACTCTACAGCAAACAGACTTGGGAGGATAAAGATACCTAACTTCCCCTGTTGCTGGCAGCTTACAAATCAGCACATGGGAGCCAGACCACTCCACAGGTCTGCTAAATTTACTTTGCGAGGTGTAAGAAGGTATGCAACAGAACATGTCTTGTAGAAGCAGCTCAGCTCCAGTGCTGGGTGATAGACATCTTGGGAAGGAGGCAGGGCAGGGGGGAAGAAAGGAGGGGAGAGATGTCAGCCAGAACATGGCCCTGGGCACCAGAGATAAAGCAAGCACTCAGAGAAACAGGAACAGCCCTACCACACAGGGAGCTGCAGGCAAGACTGGGCTGCTCCGTGGAGGGAGTGGGAAAGAGCCCCTGGTCCTACAGTACTTCTGCTCAGTGTCTGGTAAGAAAAGTACTCTCAAAATTAAAAAAAAAAAAAAAGGTTGAGAAGCAGAAAAAGAAAGGGAAAGATGCAGAATGAGAAGGTGGCTGAAAGAGAATAATGTTCATAAACAATGGCAGTTCAGCAGTGCTTAATGGATGATGTTCATGGTAGCTTAGAGTTAAGCCCAGGCTTGTTTACACATAGAGCACTAAACAAACCTATTTTATAGGATTCCTTGCATAGGGATCCTATTGCATATTGCCATACCCAAGTACTGAGTACCAGAACAATTCAGCTACCACCTGCCACAGAGGGTACTCTGAGCTCTGTGTGTATTACCACTCTGTTTTGGTAGAGCAACAGAAGAGTATTGCTTTGGTCCAGATTCTCCCAGTAGATTTCTTAACAAGGTACATCTGGACGTGTTTGAAGGAAAGGAAAGGGAGTCTTAGTTTGAGAAAGTGCAGCTCCAGTTTTGATCAAGCACTCAGAAAGCACCTAACGGCCAGCCAACATTTACCCTGACTCTGGGGAGTTCAGCTGTACCTGTGGAACCAAGCTACAAGCATAACAACGTAATTACAAGCGTAACCAAGCTAACGACGTAAGGGCTTCAAATAAATCTCAACATGCTGGAGGCAGGCTGCTGACAGTAACATCAAGGACAGACACCTCAACGCACCTCTTATCTAATACACAGATGTGGGGAGCAGAGCAAAGATTTCACGTCTTTGGTTTTAACTGCATCATCTCAAGGCAATGGGCTCTCACCCAGGTGTACTGTTTTGCCATAGCTCAGATGAGCTCTTTTCCCGACATCTAGGGACAGTTAGGTGTTAAGATTCTCTGCACTTTCAGATGTCCAAGTTTCTTTGCGTGCCCCAGAGGGAGAGAATCATCAGAAAAGGCTTTCAGTGATCCCCAGGGGAAGTCCTGAAAGCAGAGCCGTGCATGTGCTGGGACATGGATCTGCAGGGTGTGACTGCCCTTCCTGTAAACACGCACCTTAAACCTACTGACAGTCACTTCTGGCACGGCTGGGTCAGCACCCAGCTCAGGTGCTGAAGCATTTAGAGAAGCCTGAGCTGCAGCTTGTTAAAAGATTAAGGTTAGCTGTGACTGTACCTGTGTCCTAACGCTTCACTCCATCACCTCTGGTTTTAAAACATTTTTATTACCCCGTGGTACAGACTTAATGCCAGGGGACTATGGGTGGATAGACTCTGCCCATTTTTAAAGATCAAAATTCTTTCCTTAACCATGGCCTGTTGTTTTTTGGTTTTTTTTTTTTTTTTTTTTTTTTTTTTTGGTTGAACTATGTTGAAAGATCCAATCCATCAGGTAGGACCTGTTTTGGAACAGCACAGCCCTGCCGCTCTCCTTGCTCCAGCCCCAACTCCCATACGGACCCACCTAAGGGAGCAGCATTACAGCACAGAAACCAGCAGCCCTCGGGCTTATCACTGAGATGCCACACATGTAAGACATTCTTTTTTAACACTTGTAGAGCATTAATTATTATGCACAGCTGTGACACACCCCACTGTCTTTGTCCTACTTTACTAAAATCCACCAGTCTTAAAGACACTGTTCGTGCAAACGCCATTTGGCAAACACCCATTTCTTTCTACACCAGTGATCACCATGGAAATAGCACGTGTGCGGGGACTGCAGTTTGTTTTACAACTGAAGAAAGTAGCAGCACAACACCAGCCTGCTTCTGAACTAGCAGCTGGTGTGAGTTGTTTCTGCCTGGACAAATTCTGATCTGCACAGCTTTCACCTGGCTGAGACACGGGTCACTGCTTTTCCCATTCAGGAGGGTGAGAGTTGAGATCACAAAGGTAACTGAGGGCAGGCAGCAGCCCTACCAGTGTTGAAAGAGATCTCAGCAGTGTCACACTTCCTTAAAGTGAGGTTAAAAAAATAGATCTGGTTGCTGGGAATCCTGAAATGCCTCGTGCCTCCAACCTTCTTTATATCGTATCTGCTGATACTGAAAGCAGGTAGAAAATAGCTCCCTATATATTCAATATAAACACATACAGTATGTCTTGTACAATACATATAAATGACAGCAGAATATGTCTTGAGAATTCATTATAGCAGATATTATAGTATACAGATGCAACCTTTTGTCCAAACTGGTGATAAAAAAAACAACCTTACTATATGGGGATATTTTGGTAGCACAAATGCAGCTCCTATTCACTTTTAGAAATAAAGTCACAACCCTCTACAAAAGACTTTTTTTTTTCCTGTTGTTTTTAAGAGCTCCAATTATCACAATAGAGCTACTCTAATCTGGAAACGCTTCTGTGGTCATGTCCATAACAACATAGAATATAGCTGCATAAACTTAAATCATGAGGCAAGCCAGTAATAGAAACACTCTTTCCTTCCACGTAGTCCAAGCCCACCAGTACACAATGAAAAAGAGACAAAATACTGCTGCACTAAGTTATTAGAAGGGGATGGTTTCAGAGAAGGATTGTATGAGTACTATCACCCTGGAAAAGGGATGAACTCTGTGATGACTGGTGCTACTGCTTGTTATAAGCGTGCTGCTCCAGCTACACACCTATGTAATACACTACAGAGAACAAGCAGTAACACACAGATAGTTTACACTCTGCTTGGAATACACTTTCCCTTAGAGTTCTTCTAAATATAAATGGTTTAGAAAGAGCCTACTAATTAAATCCTGCAGCTTAGCTGTGCAGTCAGCAGTACTGCTGGTCAAAAGCTGCACGTCTCAAAGCATCAGGGGATTTGGCACTGGTCAGTGTGACAAGGAATGAGTTTTTCCCCAAAGAGGAATGTGCAACTATATACATAGAATAGAAACTCTTTCAACAAGAGCATAGCCCTGGGACAGGAGAGGGCTGCTGCCTAATTCACAATGAGCTGCAACTAAAAAAAAACAACCAAAAACACAGTAAGTCACATCGCTGCTCCCTACAGAGAGGAACAGCTGAAAACCAAACCAGACAAACCTCTAATTTGTTTTGAGCTGTCTGAAGTTCCAAATCAGTGCTTTGATTCAAACACAGGGACTACCACTGTAATGAACAGGCCCCAGAGCAGCAGGCAACCTCCCTCGTCTTTAGTGCAAACTTCATTGACATTTTGCAGGCCTATGGCTTTTGTGCAGCCTATTGGTGCCATTTTGACTCAAGCCCAGCACAGTTCAAAGTGACAGAACGATCGCTAATCATCAGTTTTAGTTTGGCGTGGGCTAAATAAGTACTGCTAAAAATGATGTCCAACTTCATTCAAGCACAGAAACAATGGGAAAAATCTCCTGTTGCACCTCTGGGGATGTAGGGCAAAAGTTCACTCTATTTGGCAATGGCTGTCACAAGACAAAATCACTCAACTTCGGCCAGCCATGTTTTATGGTACATAAAAAAAAACCTTAACCTAAACATAATCTTTCCAATTGTGAAAAAAGTGCTCTCTTCCTAGCATTACGTGCTCTAATGGAGCTTCCCTGTTTGGCAGTCCCCCAAGTAACCCAGGTTTCCCTCCAGCAGCACATGAGAACAGCCTGCACACACACAGTTCAGGCTGTGTCCCAGTGCTTTTAGGAGAAGCCTACTGACTGAATCAAAGGTAAGGGCTGTCTGTATTATTGAGACAGCTTAAAGGGGGAGCATCAGCAATAGAAGAGAACTGAATTTCCTCGCTGTGTACCACTTATGGAAAGCATCACTGAAGCACAAGAGGAATTCAGAGATCAATGAGGCTGTAACCCTGCAATCTGAAGTTATGAAAGTCTGTTGAGCACAAGTTGGAGCTTGTCATACAGTTAATGAAAAACTTATCTGCTTAATCTATTATAGGGGAAGTTGAATCCTTCCCCAGTGACTAGTCCAGCAGAATCTTAGATTATGGGAATAAATATTCAAATCCTCCAATGCGGCTCTATACGAGGAATTCATTTCCTGCCATATGAAACACATTTATGGTCAGATAGAAAAAACAAACACCAACTGAGTATGATATCCATGCACAAAGAAAGGCAAAGGTTGGGGGCCTGACAAGAAGGATTAGCCTTAATTCTGGAATCTTTCCTAGGTGCGTGGTTGGTCTGATGAACAAGCCAGAACGTAGCTCATTAGAGAGTCACATAATACAGCACCTAATGCTCCAGTGCTGTTAGCTCAAGGAACAACTCAGACAAGCTTGTGAACAGCACTTAGATGTTTTCTTCATTTGCTATGAACTTATAGCAAACCAGATTGCCTGCTCTCTAGCAACACCTAACCATGTAAGCACGTAAACACTGAGTGTCTCCACAGCCAAAGTTTCTTATGCACATCTCTGTAGGCAGCAAGAGTAGCAGGAGTGCCCCACTGTGAATGCTTCAAAAAGAGTAGCAGCAGGAATCTGCCCTTCTACAGTTCAGTTCCAGCAGATTTGAAAGGCAGGCCACTCTGGACAAGATGGAATTCTCCCCTCCAACTCTTTTCCACCAAAGCTGGCTCATCTGTAGCCACAGCTTTGAAGCCTTTGCCAGCAGCCCTGTAGGGACTATCCCACACAGCTCCAACCCCTAGGCACCCTGTACTCTCCTGCTGACACACAACAGGTTTCAGGAGCTGCAGATTCTGTTTCGGGCATCCCAGTACCACGTATCCATTTGAGGCTGAATCAGCTTCCTCCCACACAAGAGTTAAATCCCAAAGCAGTCAGACTCCCAGCAGCATTTTGAGCATGACCACTGTTAAACCAGGTGAAATTAGTCGAACTTAGGGAAAATTCTTGGCATGGAATGTCACAAGTGCCTCTAGGCACGCAAGTGCTCAGACAGTACTGATAATAGAAATAGCTCGTGATCTGTAATGCTTTATACTGGATACACTTCTAAAACCAAGGAAAATAGATGAGTAGGGAATTCAGTCTAGAGTATGAAGACAATTTTTGTCACTTCTCTGTTGAATTCTTTAGCCTTAACATTAAAGTCTATATAGAAATATATGGCGTAGTTCAATTTTGTCCAAAATATATCTAATAAGAGCAGGGAAAGCTAAAGAGTAAGGGAAATAGAAGGCAAGAAAAGATCAGAGAGAAAAGTGAAGCTTGCAGTTTATTTCACATTTATATATTACACCTGGAAATCTCACAATCACCATTCTTCTTCATTATTAATAAACAAGCGTTCTTTCCAAGGCAAATTACACCTGAAGTTGCTTTGCTTTTTTATTCACTGTGTTATCTTAGATAAATATATTTATACCTAGCTTAAGGTTAAGAGAATTCGCCTCCCTAAGAACAATTTATTTGGTGGTCCACAAGAATTATTTTTCACTCTTCGGATGGATTTGAACAGTTCCATCAGTCATACTTCATGCCCAGCTGGTAACAAGCAGACCATTGCATCTGATTCATTGCCAGTAAAATTAAAGCCTCTGGGTTTATTCTTATGGAGAAGACAAAGCTCTTTCTGTTTGAGAAGTCTTAAACGTAATGATGGAAGGTCTCCCAAAACACTTCTGCCATAGCAAAGTAAATTTTTTCTTGAAATTCTTTGAGGCTATTTCTTGATGAAGATCTACTATGTGTATACCTTGATAATAAGCAGCACACACCTGGGAGGAGTTCACCTTAAACTTCTAGTAAATATATTTGATATAAGTGACATTGCAAAAGTTGAAACGTACCTCATCCCCATGCATATTAGCAACATACTTGAATTCTGGAATGCCAATCTTATGTTGGGTTGGAAACCTTCCCAGAACAAGAACCCACAGGTCTCTACCTTTAAGAGGGGAAGGGGAAAAGACAATTTTTTAAACAAAGTATAAAACGATACAAGACTTACAGAACAAAAAAAGTACACAAGAGTTGGTCATCAAGAAGACCAACAAGTTCCCATGTTTCATAATTGCACAGACAATCCTATAATAGTGTTTTCAAGTAGATTTATTTACAGGAATACTTGTTAAATTAGTCATAGGAACCAATGATCTGTCTTCCAACTGAAAGCATGCAGTGAATCCTGAAATGTCAAGAACATTTAAAAAGTGGTAGGAAATAGGTTTGGGAAAAAAAAAATATATATTTTTCTATTCTAATTTTACAGTCAAGATTGTCAATCAAATTAACCAAGCAAATGTATAGTATTTATATATGATACTTGTCACAAAGAACAAATTTTTCTTTTTTTTTTTCCCCCCAAACTAAAGATAAGGTAGAAAAGCTGAACACATACATGAATTACTGCCCAGGGAAAAAATAAAAAGGAGATGGCATGCACAGAAACACATCCCAAAAATTCGCAATGTAAGAATTAGCAGCAACAGAAAGAACGTTAGTTAAGATCATTAAAGATGCACAGGAAGCTGAGCTTTATTTAAGTAGTAAAATAAGTAAATATTTTGGAAGTCCTAATTTAAAATGGGAGAGGGCATTTTTGTTGTTGTTATTATTAGTAGCGATACTGTGGCATTTCAGAGCTCTTCTACAGAATTGTGCTTCCCACTGTGCTGCTCCCCGAGGTGGGCCAGCTCTGCTTTCAGCAGATGGCAGCAAAGAAACCGGACCAGTTCCTTGATAGCAGCAGTCACAGCCTATGAGCTGCTAATGGCCAGACCTCGCATGCATATCCTGTCCCCAGCTCTGACACACTGCTCAGTGGGACCCACGAGCTATCTGGGAAGAGTCCAGCTGTTATTATTTATCAGCAAGAATAGCTATAAAGAGCATTACTTCCTACACTACTGTGGATCATCAAGTCAATAGTTTCCCAGAGGTAGATCCCATAACCCTCATGGTCCAGCTGCAAGGAGCCAGTTACACGGCTAGAAGGAAAACAGGAGTGCTGCACCAATTGTAGTGGTTAGCAATCAGGAGACAAATGTTGAAGAGAACCAGAAGCACTACAAGATGTACTGAAATAACTGTGAGATGACTAAAACTGAAGTCAGTGGTTGCCAAGCTAAGCTCACTTCACATGTTGAGTTGGACTCTCAGGGAGGATCTTCTCAGGATCAGGAAGCAATAAGACTGCAATGCCAGCAGACAGATTGAACAAGAGTGCTGTCAGCATTCCCTAGTTGTCCACAGTCACTCCAAAGACGTTGTTATTCAATCCTTACATACAGAAGGCTGAGATGCCACCACTGACACCCACTACAAAGGACAATGCGAGCAAGCAGTCATCCAGAACATCCAGAAATGAGTTTGCAGTAAGTGCTTTGGCAAGGAAGCTATTCAGCTTTGTTGTGTGCAGAGCTACTGTTTCATTAATAACAATAATAAAAGTTCAACTTCTGTAAGTCTAGACAAGCAGAGCGGAGAAGCCAGATACTAGCTTTTAAGCACATCTTTCTTCAAACAGAAAAGAGAAAGGAAGCACCAGCCCCCAGAACCCTGGCCCTTTTCTCCTCCAAAACCCAGAGTTTCCTCCCAACCCCAGCCATTGTGCAATTCTGTGGAAACAAGACAAGTCTTACTGCAGAAGTATGTTTGGAACTAGAAAAAAACAGCAGTATTGAAAGAAAACATGCTGCTGTTATTCATAATCCAGCATGCACGAGAGTCTGAACCTAATTTCCATGTCTATAACATTATCTTCTCCCTGGTTGTATCCAGAGGTAACCTGTAGTGAGCTACCAAGAAAGTCCTTCCCTCTAAGCCATGCTCTCCTTCCTTCTAATGGAAAAATAAAAGAAAATAAACTTTAAAAAATTATCAGACATTCCTCCCAAGTGTTTGGCTTCTCAGTTACCATGCAGACTGCTGCACTGAGAGCTGCCTACCTGCTTCTGACTGCAGCCTTTTCACCCCAGCTCAAACCACAGGCTCAAACCTGCAGCCTATCACATGCAGCTTCCCTGGCCAGGGATTGGTGAGGTGAAGCAGCAGTGCCAAAAAGCATATCCAGCACCTAAAAGATTATGGTGAAACTATAAGATTAAGGCAGCAGAAGACCTATACAAGAGATGTGCCCCAACTCTCTCTTCTAGATGGAGGTGAATACAGTTAAGCTGTAGATCACTTATTTCCTTCAGGGGAGGCATAGACTTTCTATAAGGTTACAGATCCATCCAACTCCAGGACTATTATCAGAGTGAGCACCAAGCACACAGGCAAAAATAGCTTAGAGCCAACAGGTTGAGTGTATTACGTGTCAAAAGCCCTCTCAGAGGAAATGAGGTATGTGTCAACTAAAAGCATCAGTTTCCTCAAATCATTTTTCATTTCCCATACAAACACAAAGCAGTGACCTAAAAGGTGAAGCAGTTGAAAGTGGGATCAGGTCTTCAAGCCAACCAATATGTTAACTATGTTTGCATTACTTTCCCACATCTAATTATGTAACATATAAAATACCCAATCAGTTACAATAGACAAGCTGTACTGTAGTCCCTAGAAAGGGAGGATCTTCTCACCAATAATCAGACATGGAGATTTGCCTCTGCTTCCTTTCAAACCAAACAAGACCATCAGAGCTATCTCAAATCTGACTTCGGGTAATGATGACTGACATGCATTATCCATTGCATATAGGCTTTTCAGGGTATCTTACAAGTTAATGTAGAACAGCACCATATTTTCAGCAGCATTAGCACCGTACCGTAGTTCTAAAGCAACAAGAACCCACCAATGCTACAAGCTATTTCTGTGTCACTTAAGGCTTTTTGCAAATGAAATATATTCTGATTTAAAACAAACAAAACCAATATTTTTTTTTTTTAAAGCCACATTTTCAGTGCCTTAGAATCACAGAATGATTTGGGATGGGAGAGGCCTTAAAGACCATTCAGTTCCAGCCCTTGCTGAGAGCAGGGACACCTCCCACACTTTGCTCAAAGCCCCATCCAACCTGACCTGGCCTTCCAGGGATGGGGCATCCACAGCTTCTCCGGGAAACTTGTTGCAGTGTCTCACCACCCTCTGAATAAAGGATATCTTCCTGACATACCATCTAAATCTACCCTCTTTTAGTTTAAAACTGTTACATCTTGTTCTATCACTGCACTCCCTGACGAAGAGTTCTTTCCCAGCTTTCCTGTAGGCTCACTTTAAGTACTGAAAGACTACAGTGAGGTCTCCCCACAGCCTTCTCTTCTCCAGGCTGAACTAGCCCAGCTCCCTCAGTCTGTCTTCATAAGAGAGGTGCTCCAGCCTTCTGATCATCCTCATGGTCCTCATGGGAAGCACATGGAAGAGTTAAGTATAGACTAGCATTAAGTACTGATCTAAATTGGTCTTTCCAGCATGAATGTTTAGACTGTTTACAGTTTGTGTGCATGAGGACCATCATAATGATAAACACTCCCATGAACTGAGACATCAATTATTTTCTAGCACTTCCAGCTTATGAGAAGCATTAAGCTTACCATTAACAATTAAAATAAATTCCTGGGTCTGCTCAGCCTGCAGTACTGGATAGTGTACCTACAAGGGATGATGTAAGATTCTTTTCATATAGCAGTAATTTACTGCATATAAGAAGATTCAGTAGATAAAGTTTCCTTTAATCAGTAAGGCCTACATAACTCTGTTTTCATAGTTGAGCAGCTAAGCCACCTCCCATGCTTTGCATCAACTGAACATACACTGAGAAACCATTCCTCATTGCCAAACCAGAAATTATTTCAGCTAATCACTGAACTATATTGCAAGTAATCAAGACAAACTTGTGTTTGTAATTGTGTTGGAGCAAAGCCTGGTTATACAGCTTCTGGTAGGGTGAGCAGATTTATTGATAAGTTTTCTACCTTTGCCATGGCAATATTCATGACATGGTATCAATATTCTAAACAGACCCACAAAAACTGGGAAATAAAACAGAGAATTGAAACTGATCTCCAGATCAAGTGAGAAAGAAACCAGATTACTTGTAGGCTTTGGAGTCTGGGTTACACTCCTTGTTTTGTTCTGAAGTTTACTTCTGCTTCTCTTCTCTTTTTTCTTTACAATTCCATGTATGAAACGGAGTTGTTGTTTCAAAGGCAGTTGTGGCTAAGAAGTGAAATGAACTAACTAGACAATGTACTGTCCGTATTCCACAGACCTAGCCAACCAGCTGAAATGCGTGCATGGAGGTCTACTTTAACTAATGCAAAGCAGTATGCCTACTACACTTCTCCTGAGCTGACCATATACATGCTACACATCACCTCAGCATCACTGCAGACCCTATCCATGAGGCACTCCCTTCCTAAAAAGGCACAAGGCAGGGAGAAGAGAAAAACCAATGCTAATTAGAAGACAAAGTCCAAAACCAGTTCATGCTGGCTCCAAATCTGCCTAAAAACTTATTTGAGTAGTAGAGCACGGAACACAGGTCATGCAAAACTTGTTCTGACTTCGACTGGAAAGTTGAATTTTTAGATGTCTAAATCAAAGCCTCAGGTCTGAATCTATGTGGATCCATTTCCGTTGCCTATAAAATAAACATGATGCGAGCTTATGAAAAAAGACAATATGATACCAGTCATTATACAAATCGAAGTAAGGACCTCAAGCAATACTCTTGAGATGTTAAATAAGCCACAACAATTTACATGTCTTTCTATTTCATATCCTCTTTCTTAAGCAGAAGTAGTAAGTTTTCCTTCATGTTTGACGTAGAAGTAGCAGCAAACCATCGTGGTGGTTTATCCGTAAACATGTGTTTCTAAACTCTGGGGACAGCCATCTTAGTATGTATGGAGCAGTTAAATAAAAAGCATAAACAATTTTGTCGTAATTCTTCAAACTGCTATGCGCTACTGTAATTTTGACAACTTAACCTATCAGGGCTTCATT